TTACTGGACAATTTCGTGTAAAAGTTGTTGCTGATTTTATATATATATATATATTATTATATTATTTATTGTTCGTAGATACGGATAGAGATACGATATATTTTTATTTATTTAATTTTAACTTTATTATTTTATTCAAAAACATTCACGCGTAGATAATATTTATTATCGTTTTGTTTGTAATAATTTGTTCGTAAAGTCTAATTATTTTATAAATATTTAAAAATAATACATTTTTCTGTAATTCTGGATAGAGAGAAAGAAATATATATAGAAAAAAATTGTAAATTATGTTTGCAGGTATCGTAGAAATCTGTAACAAGTAAATATAAACGTTGAAAGAAAGAATGATCGTTGTTTCTTTTCATTGTCAAAGAGATTTATCGGCCTCACACGTACGTAACAGCGAAAAGAGGTATCCTTCCTCTCGATCTTCCGCTCGACCTCATCCAAGGAAATCAGATCGTACGCGCGCGCGCAAAAACCTTCTTTCGCCTTGATCGACTGAGACTGGTCACTTTCATCGTTCGAATTCTCCCGCGCAATTTTTATTTATGCTCGATTTAACCAAAGAAGAAAAAAAAAGATAAAATATTCGATGGTCGAGCAAAAAATTTTACGACCAATTAAAAAAAAAAAAACAGGATTATCCTTGTAAACGCGCGCGCGCATATGTGTGCATGTGTGTGTATTTGATAAAGGTGTTTGCATTGGAACAAATATTACATCAGCATCAACCGGATATCCTGGAACAGATGACGGATATCGGCCATGACACACAAAAGTATTAATCGGTCGATCAATAATTTATCAACTTTTATAACATCTTAATTAATACCTTTCATCGTACTTTATTATTACGTTTGTTATAATATTTATTTATTACTATTCAACAATTGACCACATTTTCTCTTTTTTTCTCAATATAATTTTGATTACTTTGTCATTTTTAATATGAATAATACATAAGTGAGTACCACTTTAGTCAACGTGCATGCATAATTTCTCACTACTTTAGTCAAAATGTAGTAGTCATAGGACAATACTTTCTCTAAACGAACAAAACCTCTCACGTTTTATTCCGCGTTATGTTATTTACCTGTTGTCTACGTTTCACGCCTGTAAATTCGTCCGTTTTACATTTAATCTTATTATGTCAGACTCGCATATACGTGAACGAGTATGTTGTAAATATATTTAAATCGGTAGATATATCCAAGAAAAGAGGGACAATTCTTTGTCAGATTGGTTGCAACACTCATGAACATAAATATACTCTTTCGATAGACTATCGATAATAAAATACACCTTGGCTTCAATCTTGATCAGTAAAAATATAGTTTAAAACCTTTTGATAATTCCTGATAAAACCTTACATAATAATTTATATCATCGTGTTATCGTGATTACAAAGGATATCGTTTAGATAAAACCTGTTTTAATATGTATTGTGTGTAATAAAGTACAGATACATATACACTTTTGATAAGTAATTGAAAACCTCTATAATTTTGCAACACCATTTAGGACAGATTTTTCTCACACACATACCTGCAAATATTTATTATTTATTATTTATACAAATTTAATCGTTCCATATTTCACGATAGATTCAATATGGCGACTGATACCACAATTTTAACACTAACAATAAAATGTAACGCGAGTAATCAAATGATCGATGTTATTTTCGATATTTTTATTTTCAATTTATTGCATTCGATGGTATGAATGAAAGAACATTAAATATATTTAAATATAATATCGAATTTATAAATATATATATATATATATGAAAAAGGAGAGAAAAAAAGGGTAAGTTAGAATGAGATGAGTATTCGTCGATTTACAATAGTACGGAAATACCCAAAGTAAATATTCAATATCCGTTCAGGTTTGCTCGTAGTATATTCACTGCGTAGAATACGAATCAGTTTATCGGACATAGAAACTGCTGTTGCATATTTCTCCACGAATCTTATTGCATCCTGCTGAAGATAAGGACTATAGCTGATGGCGTTCAGGACGAGATCGAGACGATCGATAATAAATTTCAAAGAAATGTCCCTACGCATTTATATATAGATATACGAATAGCCACTTGCTTGAACTTGCTTACTAGTTTCCCTAAGTCGTCTGAACGAAGGACAACTTCACACTAGTGTGTATAAGAAAAAGAAAGAAAGAAAAAAGAGAAAGGCAACTATATATATATGTTTATATATTATTAGATATTTTGATTTTTTCCATTCGAAATGGCAGAGGTTCTCAATTATTTATCGAAAGTAATATCCTCAATTTTGGAAATTCGCAAGATGATCGTTAAGCGCCATTGTTAAAAATAGGAATAATTAATATCGTTTTCATGAAATTATGTTGTTTATATATAAATATATAAAAATAGAAAGAAAAGATGCGTATGGTAGAAAAGGTAGAAAAAGAGAGAGAAGTGATGGATATAAAAAAAGGATAGAAAATATTCAGAAGAGGAATTTCTTGTTTCCTTCTTTCTCTTTCTATCATTCGTCGTGTCGTCTTCGCATAATCATTAAAGATAGAAAGAGAGAGAAAGGGTAGAGGAAAACCGAGACGATGTAACCTGTTGCCGCGGGGGAGCACTTTATATCCATCCACCTCGTAAACCGTAATGGTTAAGTGGCATGTAGATACGATCGGGCACGAGTTGAAAAGAGAAAGAAAGACAAAAAGAGAGACAAAAAGAAGAAAAAGAGAGAGATTAACGTTCTATACAGTGCGACGAACGCGAGCACCCATATAAAGGGCTTCACAGGAATTATGCTCGTTGAAGGTATAGTGTTATTACATATGTGAGTCGTACATTAAAACCGTATTACGTCGTCGTTGTCGTCGTGTGTGTTTGCGTGTTTCGTACGATTGCTTCGACTGGTTGTAAACATCGCAGGGGTATCGTAAATTAAAACCTCTGAACGAGCGGCCATTTTCTTTCTTTTGAACCCTTACTTTTTCCATAAGTAAAAGTTGTTAACGTTAACAACCTTCAACAACGTTAAACTCATCAATAAAATTATATTTTACGAATTAACAAAACGATCTTCGAAGAATTACAATTGAATAAACGTGTCGAAAAGATGATTACATTTTTTAGATACACTTTGACTATTTTGTATTTTTCGCACGAAATCACAGAGGTTTTCAATTCCTTACCAAAATATTCACAATTTTTGGAATATCGTAAAATCATTGTTAAAGATCATTAGTCTAAATATCTAGTAATAATTAACGTCGTTTTTATTAGATCATGTTGATTAAATTATCAGGAAATAAATTAATAAACTGTGAAGTAAAAACGATGTCAATTGTTACCATATTCTATAATATCATGATGTCGTTAAAAAAGCATCGATTATTTTCCGTTATTGTAAACGAAATTAAAGTTATTATGAATTATAGACTATATATTTACAATACATAAATATAAAAAAAAATGTATATAAAAGATAAAGAAAGTTTCATGATGAAATTTGATTTTGATCCTTTCTTATCATTCGATCTCATTCAACGGCGACCCAAATTAATCAATAAATCATAAGTTAACCCTAAAACGATATAATAAAATCCGAAGTTGTCTATCTCTCACGGGCTCTGTAACATGAAGGCAGATCATCAACGAGACACGAAGAGAATTGCGAAAGTTATTGCGCCGTAGACGAACGGTCGAGTTTTGAAAGTTGGTGAGGATTCTACGTTACATCGCACCGAATCCTTACGGCCTAATAGAAGTATCATTTCGAAGTTATAATATATACATATGTATTTATAAATAGATAGATAGATAGAAAGAAAGATAAACAACATGCGTATAAAAATTACGTAATATACACTTCTTTTTTTTAATAATATATTCAGGAAAGTTATTGAAACGTCAACCGGATGTGTTGTTGATGCCAAGGAGACAAACAAAATGTTGCCCTTCACTCCTCCCTACTTATCAACCGAGCTGACATGAGAGGATCAAGTTGACCTCGTTACTATTTCATCCTTTCTTTCTTTGCTTTTCGAAATACTTTTAAATTCAATACCGTTTAAAACCATATAAAAGAAATCAACAGTGTAAACAATAAGTTATAACGATACATCTTGATCTATAGTTTTCTTTCTTAATATTAATAAAAAACAACATGTAAATGGTCGTTCCATTGACTCAATTTACTGTAAATACATGCATACCCAGAATTTAAAAAAATCTTACAATTACTTATCAGGAGGAAGAATAATAGACCATTGGCAGAAATCAGTTGTACAGATTTGCTAGTTGTAACATTCACCGAGTCAACTTAGGAACCACCCCCCTTTAGTGGGAGAGGTGCCTTTCTCCCTACTTTACTGGAGGACCCTCGTCCTGACTTCTAGTTATAAGGAGAAGGAGTTATACTGATGCATTGTGCAACAATGCACCGCCACCTGCACTCGTTTCGTCACACTCCACGAGCGGCTTTAATCGACTCTACACTGTTTGCTTGCTTACTTGCTTATTTACCTGTTTGCTTACCTGCCTCTACTATGACTTGCATTACTTTCGCCAATTAAACTTTGATGATTGTCATTGTATTTAACTTGAATATGAAAATTCCATATGTTATAATTCACGATAAATTCAATGTAGCAACCGATACCACCTTTTTAACATTAACTGTAAAACGTAACGCGATTGATCAAATGGTTAAAGTTTTTCGGTTGTTTCATTACTTTTTTGTTTTTTTTTATTTCTTCTTAATTTTAGGGCAACTGTAATTATAAAGATTTTTAAGATTATATTGTTGCATTATTATCTGCGTTCAATTATTATAAATGTAATTATCTTGTTGAAGACTGGTTACAGTAGAAATAATTATAATAAATAAATTGTTGATAGATATTCTCTCTCTTTTTATTTTCTTAAATAAAACATATTTTAATTTAATCAAACTAATTATTTAATTTTTTAAATTATATAATTAGTTTGATTATAATATTAATTGAATTATAAATAAAAATAATATTAAAAAACAACGAAATGTTTGTATTTGACCGGCTTCCGGTAGAGGACTCGCGCAAATTTTTCGCAGATACACGAAGTGTTTATACATGTTTAGAATTTAATATCTTTAAAGCAGCTAAGCTCTTTGCTTAAGCTTCGTACTTGCAAAGATAGAATAATATTTTAATTAAACGTATAAACATTAATAAGTATTATTAATTTATATTAATTTTGCAGAACTAGCTAACATCTCGCAACCTAACCTACAAATTGAAAGCCAATCTCAACAAGGTAATGTAACAAAGGATCTTGTTAATTAAAATATTCAACTTTATAGAAAGAAAATCAAGAAACATAAAGAAGTTTAATAAAAATAAATGTACAGCTTCACCAAATTAAACGAAGGATGCTGATCTAAACAATTTTTCTAAAAAATTAATATCAATCTGGAAGAACCATATTAATCTCCACACGTATATGGATAAAAAAGTATTAAAAGTATATGTATAAAATAACAAACATAGAAAATATCAAACAGTAACTAAAAGCTCAAGGTTTTATAGGAAATAAACTTTTAAGTAGTTAATGATATAGAATTATAAAACTTGTTCAAAGATTTACATATAATGTACAAAATTTTATCGAGTCGTATAATACTTTACGAATTACCCGTAATATGGTTAGTATAATGCAACATGGACTAATATTAATATATAAATATAAGTATAAGAAAATAAACGCTTAATATTTTTATAATTACCATTTAAGCACAACCTAAGTATTACCTAAAGATCTTAGCATAATAAATAATAACTCGCAGAACAAAATTAATGATATACTAACTTATTAAGCATCGCTTATATATCACATGCTAAATTAAGTTAATTTTTATTATCAAGAGTTCAGAGATATCCATTTATCTGAATCAACGATGTTTATTTTAAGTATTATTAGTGGATAAGTTTTTACTTACATATTTACTCATTTACTTACACATAATGTTCTTTTATATTCAATAATTCAATACTATTGTTAGAACAATAAACAAATGATTGACAAGTTGATTTTAAATATATAATGTATAAACAATTGATATTTTAATAAATTCTTTGCAATTACAAAAAATAATCTCGGAGAACTCAAATTCAATTCATCACATTATTTGATAATGATTTATAAATATTTCATTATGCATATATGTATGTAGTTTGATCACATGAAAATTTGACCACAGAAACAAAATTTCTACTACACGCCATTTTTAGAAGTAGAAGTTAAGGTTATGTGGTATTAGATGTACGTAAATTCATGAATAGGACAAAAAAAAGATAATACAGTGTAATAAAATGGAAATACAGATTTGTAAAACAAGATCAATAAGATTTTAAAAGAAATTGAAATATTTTAAAATATTCTTTTGCTTTCAAAAATGCTTCAATCATCCTGTTTACAAATATTAAGGTGTAAGTCTATTGATATTTATATGAAATAATACATTGTTGACAATTTTATTGGTTTTAAAACTATTAAAACTTTATCGGTCTTGTTATTACATAAATTTGTTATAGTTCAAATATGTCGGATGTCACAATTTGCATTTGTACCTGTATGCAATCCTGTTGAAGAAGAAGATGTACTACAATTAAGAAACTTTATTGAAAAATACAATAATATATGTGTCTTAACTGGTGCTGGAGTTTCCACTGAAAGTGGAATTCCAGATTATAGATCAGCAGGTGTGGGTATTTATGCTAGAAGCAGTCGAAGACCAGTTCTTTACAAAGATTTTTGTTCAAATGAATTTATTAGAAAACGATACTGGGCACGAAATTATGTAGGATGGCCTAGGTTTGAATTAATTTTTCTAGATTTTAAATAAAATTAATTCTAAAGCGTATTACAATTGAATTTACATAAAGAGTGTTTTTGACGTAGATTTTCAACATTTGAACCGAATGACACCCATAAAGTATTAAAAAATCTTGAAGAAATTGGTAAGGTGTCATGTGTCGTTACACAGAATGTAGATAATTTACATACAAAAGCTGGAAATAGAAATGTGATAGAACTTCACGGTACAGCATTTCGAGTAATGTGTCTTAACTGTGATCATAAAATAGAACGAGCTAACTTTCAAAATATTCTTAAAAAACTCAATCCGCTTTTAAATAGTCATATTGAAATGATAAGACCTGATGGAGACGTAGATTTAACTCAGGTATTTAAAATAATAATTGAAATAAATATTTTTACATGCATATCTACTTTTATAACAATTTATCAAAATGTTTTTATAGGAGGAAACCAAAGGGTTTATTGTTCCACCATGTGAAAATTGCGGTGGCATATTGAAACCAGACATAGTGTTTTTTGGAGATAATGTACCTCGCTGTGTTGTAGAAAATGTTAAAAATATAGTAGAGGAATCAAGTTCATTATTAATTCTTGGAACTTCTTTAAGTACATTCTCTGGTTATAGAATTGTACTTCAAGCTTTAGATGCTAAAAAGTCTATAATGTTAGTAAATATTGGTAAAACTAGAGCTGACAATGACGTACATATTAAAATAGAAGGAAGATGCGGAGATGTACTTCCTAAGGCTTTTAGGCTCTAAGGTAGATTTAATGATTTCTTTGTAGAAAATAAAATATGATTTTAAATGTATTTGTATAATACATGTGTATACAAAACAAGAAAATGATGATAATATATGATATTTTATATAGATTTAATGTTTGATTACAAATGCTTAATAATATAATCATCATATTTATTGTATATGAGATTGTTATTTCATTAATTGGAAGATTTAGATTCCTTAGCATGTTGAAGACTTTGAGTAATATATAATTTAGCTAAGCTTTGCGCACAGAATTGCGATATATGTTCGCTGTAAGTGTTGATTTGTCCTGCGACGATCATTGGATTTAATCTTGGTGGTACTGGCAATGGTCTCATAATCTTATTAATATCATCATCCGGTAGTGGTGGTTCGTCTTTAGCAGCTCTCGCTGCGTTTTCTTGAGCTCTCTTAGCCAACAATCGATTTTTATCTTGTTGTTGTCTAACAACTAATTGTTGGTATCTATTGAACTTCATAGCTTCTTGATTTAATTCATCTATACGATCCATCAAACAGCGTAGTTGATTTTCTAATACTGTAGCAGTTCCAAGATCTAAATATTTAGTGCCTTCTTCTTCTGGAACCATTTCTTCTAATTCCGACATCATAATATTCGTTAAATTGCTATTCTTGATAACAACGGGAATTTCAACAAAAAGAGTTTCATAACCAATCTTAAGAGCTCTCAAAGCTTCTGGTGTAAATTCACCTTCTTTATACATTTGAATAGCTTGAGGTGTTAAACGATAAGCTTTAAGAGTTAAAAATCCTCTAGCTGATTTGGCAGTGTCATAAATAAGTACAACCGATTCTTCTATAGACGTTTGATAATGATACTGCGATTCTAAAAGCGATACGTTTAAAAAGTTACCAACATCTGCACTTTGATACCACCCGACATGGAAATGATCAACGTTGACCCTACAAATAAAAATACATGTATAAACTATACAATAAATAACCTTGAACTACATTACAAAATGTTCTTCTAACATACCATCTGAGTCTACGCATCATAGCTAATTGATATTCCTCTTCGTCAGCAATTTCATCATTTTTAGGAAATGGAAAACAATTGGTAATTTCTAATCTATTTTGTACAACTAAACCCAAAAGTGCACCTTGTGCAACTTCCATGTTGCTCATAGACTCCTCATGACAATGTTTAACCATTTTCATTACAACCAATCCATCGCATTGAACGTAATCAATACGTGGCTCTACTTCAGGAATTCTTCTGGATTGTGTTCTTGATGCCATTTTAACAGAGAGTAATAATTTATATTAGGAGGAATTAAAAGAATTCAAGTATTTATCGAGGTTTGTTAAATATTTTTAGGTTCACACACAATTAACCATGCCGATCATGTGAAAAAGAGCAAAACTTTAATCATTGAGTTAACAAATAGTAGAAACGTGGACAACAGTGACCAAAACGTTTTAATAAGCGCTATCTGGTGACTAAAGATAAATTCAATTCTAAATTTAACAATAAAATCTAAGTATTAATTTATCAAGGTATTCGATAAAATTAAATTTAAAAACATTAATTAATATATAAAAATCATTAAATTATTTCATTTCATAATTTATATGTCTATGAAATAATTCTTTAATAATTAATGACATTTCTACGAGACAATTCGTCAAGGATTCATGATGTTGGGTCTACGGACTAGTTAGTCAATGAGCAATTACAGTAAGATTTTAGTTGTCATAAAGAGGATTAGTATAATTAGTTTTTATATCAACATTAGAAAAATATAGTATATTAAAAAATATCATTGTGTAGTTAAATATCGCTTGTCCATATTTGTATATATTAGTATAACATTGTTATACTTTTTAATATAGTTTTATTATTACTATATTTTCGCATGTCATTTGTTATTATTAGAAAAGAATATTATTTGATTAAAAGGTATGAAATTTGGATTAGTTAAATAGAATATAGATAAGTAAACATTAAATTTAAATGCATTTTAAGAACAAATAAAATAATAGTGTTACACAAGAAAAAAATGATAAATAACAAATAATTATTGATTATTTTTAAAGTCCGACGTTCTAGATAATATATTTTGACAGATTGACTAGTAGGTGGCGCTTCGATCGTCGTGTATTTCGACTCGTGTACTCCTTGTGTTTCTCTTAACACCGCCGTGTGTTCGTTTGTAATTGGAAAAGACGTGAAAAAATATATAACGAAAGTTTCTCTCGGTTTGTGTGTCTTGTGTCGCAAAATATAACCTCTTCTTCAATAAAATGATACAATTTTTACTTTCAACGTGTAAAGTTTTATTCCTACGACAAATTTGACTTAACCAAAAAGAGAGAAGGAAAAAGAAAAAGAAAAAAGCAAGAATTGCTTTATTTATTGCGGGGTAATCAAACTAAATATACTCATCATGAAAGTTATCGTGAAAAAACTTCAAGGGAAAGAATATATTATCGATGTGAGTAATGGGATGTTGATTTCAAATTTTTTGATCTCCTTTCTATGTTTCATATGTATATGTGGATATATATACATATATGTGTATATGTATATGTACATGTGACTTTATTTCAATCGATTTGATTAGAAATTTATGCTAGTTTAGAAAATAATCGTTTGTATATTTAATGTCATTTTATTCATGTATGATATATTTCCATTGTTTCAGATTATGCCAACAGAAACAGTTTTGCAACTGAAGCATAAATTAAGTGACCTTTTAGGCATCGATGTACCACAACAAAGATTGTTGCTAACAGGAAAAACATTGGCCGGTAAAATGATATTTAATTGTGCCTTCAAAATTTATATTTGTATTATGTATGCACATATTATGTTAATATATGTATGCGTATACATATATTAATATTATAAATATATAAATATTAATTTTTGGATACATATTTGATTTTAGACGAACAGCCACTAAGTTTTTATCCAGCGATTAAGGATGGAAGTAGACTTAACTTAGTTGTTATAAAAAAAGCAGAAGAAGGACCAAGTGAGGCTAAATCTCATCAAAAAACTGGAACTCAAATATTGAGAGATGAGGTTACAAGAGTTTTAAGGCATTATTATACCGAATCAGAAGCAGAATCAATCGTTAACGAGCTAATAAAAGACTTGAAGAACAAAGTTAATAATCTTAGTTACGACGACTTGGAAAGATTTGCAACCGCATTATTACAGGACCAAGAGAATATAGCTTAAAATAATTTCAACAATTTTGCAATATCGCTTATCAATTGATTACTTCTAATATAACTTTATTTAATCGATATCTTGCCTCATTGTACCCTACATTCGATAGCATTTAAGAAAAGGATAAGAAAAAAATAGCACGAATCATGTATATCACTGGCAGATGATAGTTAATTTCTTATTTAATACTTTTTCTCTCATTTTCTTTTTTTTCTTTTACTTCCTCTTCATTTTTAATTATATTTTGTGATATAATCAACGAAAGAAAAAAAGACAAGTGTAATATCGATTTAATATCAATCAGCAAGATCCATTTGACGATAATATTTTGCAACCAGGCATATAAACAAATTTAGCGCTCCTATTTCGTGTTCTTCCAACTTTTTCTAAATAAACAGAAATGTAGTATTAGATGTGTAATTTTTATACAAATTTTACATTTCAAGAAAAGTTTAGTAATTAAAAACGAAAAAGATAATAAATATCTAAGCAGATTACATTTAAAACTTTGAAGTTAATATTTTCAATTTATACCAAAGTTGTAACCATTTATTTATTAAAAAAAAGATTTTGTTAAATAAAATATCTTAGCTATTTTTTTCTTATTATTGAAATAAAATCATACTGAACTTTTCTTAAAAACAACAACACTGTAAGTAAATATTTCTTACAGAATTAGCTCTAATAACGGAACACGTTCTTGCCAAAGAACGTAAACAAGAACATGTGTCAGGGTTCAATGGTAAATGCAGAACAACCAATAAAGCATAGAGCCACTGTCCAATTTTAAATGAAAGTTTTCCTTGTGTTTGTACATATTCGATTAAATATTCCAAGACTTGTTCTATCAATGGTTGTTTCATAGATATAACAGTCGTTAACGTTGGACTATGATTTTCTATATCGTCGCTACTTTCCTTGGAACAGTAAGTGATCCAATCTTCTTGATTATCTATATGAGGCTGAAACCAAAACGAAAAGTATTATTTTGAAATTTATCTGGATTAAATATTCTTAATAATTCAAGATGATGTACAAGTTTATCTACCAATTGTGTCTTTTGAAGTTTCCTGTTGTGTTTAGATGATTTAATCTTATCTTGCATTTGAATTACGTATAATTTTAAATCTTTGAAATTTTGCACTTGACGCTCTTGCCATTCGATGGTAGGTATTAAAGATGAAGGTGCTTCGATACATCCTGATAACTAATATAATTATTGTATTTATTTCATATTATTTAAATATTATGTTGATATATAATTGATTAGTATTCACATTAACTTACATGGTGAATGCTTATCGTAGGTTTTTTAAAAAGGTCTGGATTAATATCGGCCACTACTGTATCAGCATATTGTTTAGCTTCTAATCTATAATACAGTGAAATTATATGGATAGATATTTTATTTTGTTAATTTTTAAATTATTATGACACTTACATTACACGCTTGATATAGTCTTCTCCAGATTTTGGAGGTTGTTTCAGATCAATATCTTCGATATTTTCCACATGAAATGCTAGTTCTTTCATATAATCCATTTCATTTTCTTTATTTTGAAATTTCAACATTGTTAAGTATTTACAAATATTATCTTCACAATATTATATTGTTTACAAAAAAATTAAATCAACACGATTTTTTACGTATATGTGTACGTGCATATATACATAAAGTTAACCTATGTACCAATTTGTTTTAAAATTACATTAATTTAAAATTATATTTATTATATTAATTTCAATAAAAATATTTTATTTGTAAAAATAACTTGTTTTTTATCGATGCATATTGAAAATTTAATTTGTTTACCTAACATAAGTTTGGTACTACTGTTCATTCTAAATTCGTATAAGAATACAGATCCTCATATTTAAAAAACAAGTTATTTTGAAATTTATGAAATTGTAATAACTATTTAGAATAATTTATAACATTTAAAATATATGTAACATGCAATTTTTTCATCAAACATTATATTTAAAAGAAATAAAAGTTATAAAATATTATTAGAATCGAGCTTTTAGTGCGACTATCGTTAATTGGTTAAAATACTGATACACTATGTCGAGCATTATCCTTATTGGTCAGTGACGGAAATCGATGTTTGAGATAAATAGAATGTTGTTATATATGTAACTATTTTCCTAGTTGAGATTAAATTCTCGTTTGCTGTCATCATACTTTCATTCTTATATTTCGAATATTAATAATTTATATAATAAAAAAAATGTTGTCACGTATAATTAAAATATGTAGACGTTCACATTGTGAAAGAATTATAACGTGTCGTGCATATTCATCTAATACACCTCAATTAAATACAGGTACGTGTTTAATAAGAGTAAGTTAGGTTATGATTCTTGATAAAATTTTGTTTAATTGTGATTTATTTTACTATAAAATTCACAGAAAATGAAGTGGATCCAGCACCAATATTTTTTAACCAAGAAGTACAACAGGCATTGAAGATATTAACAAGAATCGATTACAAGAAGGTTGTTAGAAAACGTTTGACTGGTGAAAAATTACAAGTTCCGGAATATAAATTTATGACTGATAAAGAATTAGAAGAAGCTTTAGATCTTGCAAAGAAGAGAGCTGAAAAACGTTTGCAAATGCCTCCTGTAGTTAAAACAAGGAAAGAAATAGATATTGTATTATCCAAGGATGAAGCATTGGAAGGATTTTCTACAAGTAAATATGTCTTTACGGACATTACTTTTGGTATTAAAGATAGGGATAGATTCATATTAGTTAGGGAGCTCGATGGGACGCTTAGATATGCCAAGTGGGATGAAAGAGATCGATTGAATCAGGTGTATATATCTACCAAAGGGAAAGAAATGATAGCTCCTAAATTGTTTCAAGGAGAATATTTGGAGGTTAGATAATTGGTTTAAAAAGTAAAATAGACATATTTTTTATTATTATTATTATTTTTATTAGTATTATTAGTATAATGATTTTTTTTGTATATATAATATTTCAGAATTTACTAAGGCGAGAAGCTTACGAGTACTTATTAGACCGTGCTTGTCTTCAATACGATCCAGATGATCCAGAATATAAAAGAGTTACAAAGGCAGTTTATGAAGACATAAATCAAAAGAAGCAATTCGAATGTTTGAGATCAACACGACACTTTGGTCCCTTTGTATTTTATCTCGCTTGGAATAATAGTATCGATAAATTGCTTTGCAATATAATAGAATCAGAAAAAATTGAAGAAGCTGTGGCATTGATACGTCTCTATCACAAGATACACCCTCAAGCAAAATCTGCTTTGACTGAATGCGAAAGTGAAGATCCTATTAAATTAATAATGCATTATGCCTCTCTGGATGCGCCGTTAAGTCCTTTAGTTAAGAAAACTTTAGCAGTTTATCAAGAAATCGAAAAGGAGAAGCAGAAAGTTAAAGAAGGTATTAAAAAAGCTCATGGTATTGATTCAGATGAATCATAATTTTTAAATATATAAATAAATTATAAAATGTTATTAAATATAATGTGATTGATGTTTTTTTTATTCATATAATATATCATTATCATTATCATTATCATTATCATTATTATCATTATCATCGTCATCGTCATATGGTAATGGAACCTGTGGGAGTAATGAAAGGAATTAGTCATATTAAAATAATAAATTAATAATGAATCTAAGATACTTTAGTATGGTATGTTATGGTTAGCTTTATTCATTGTACGTGTATGATGAAATAATCGATGGATAACAGATGAGCATTGCTAGGATATAATTCGATGATTATTACTCGATTATTTTATTACGTAGTAGTTACTTACAAACATTTACAAATGTAACAAGTCAATTCGATTTAGCTTACAGGATCGTCAGAAAAAACATTGCACCTAACTTGCTAGTAATATTAATACGGAAAAGTGTCAAAGTATATATATATATATATAATTCATTCGGTGTTATAATTAATAATTGTCCTTTTCTATACGGAATAAAACGAAGAATTATCTTTTTTTTTCTTTTCTTTCTTTCTTTCTTTTTTTTCATATAATCGTTTTTCTTCTCCTTCGATAAATTTACAATTATTAATATACTAATGTTTATCGCTTAAAACTTATTAACATATTGGAAATAATAAATAAATGATTTCTTTATAATCTATCGTTCATAAATTATAAAAAAAGAGGAAGAAGAAGAAGAAGGAACCTAGAAAACAAATAATAGTAATAGACTTATAATAGAATACATTCATAATAATAATAGTAATAATAAAATACAAATAATAATAATAATAATAATATACTAATATTAATAAATAAAAAAATAGCTGCATTTCCTCTTTTTTTTGTTTTATGAATTATAAAAGATACAAGGGTGAAGATGAAATTTGTACGAAAGAGATAACGTGAAAAATATAGATGAATAGAAAGAAAGAGAGAGAGAGAGAGAGAGAGAGAGAGAGAGAAAGAGAGGGAGAGAGGGTGATGAAGGGGTTGGGGAATGGAGTAGACGTCTCGTTGAGATCGTATATCTTTCTGTAAATATTTCAATAAGCACTTATCCTTTATAATATCTATTATCATCGTTACTGTCTTTATTCGTATGTCTCTTAGCATGAAGATAATAATCATTAATTCGATTATTCATCGATATAACACACGTCATGTGTGTTAACAATTATGATAAAAAGAAATATAGAGAAGCAAAAACGAAAAAAAAAAATATAAATATATATAATAGAATAAAAAAGATAAAATATTATCTCGTGAAAAGAAATTTGTTTCTCGAACGATTATTGTTTAATTTTTTTATTCTTTTCAAATGTTTTTTATTTTTTTGTCGTCGAAGAAGATCCTGAAAGAAGAAAAGCATATGAAATAATGTTCTTATTCGGTTTATGAGATTGTAATAAATATAATATGTATCTATTAGGCCCTCTTGAAGCACAAGTCATAAAACACCATCATTATCGTTATCGTATCAAGTAATACATGCAACAAAGTTTTGTATTCCTTTTTCACATCTTTTATTTTATTTTATTTTATTTATTTCTTTTTACTATTCCTTCTTCTATTCCTTTCTTCTTTTTTTTTCTTTCTCTAATGGGCTCCTTGACTTCGTGTCAGAAGAGGATATTCAAAAGATGAGAGTGTAGTGGCCGAGCGATTGTCTGTTAAAAAATCGATCATTAGAAGTTTACATCTTACTTAGAGACATACATAATATGTATTTGAATAATTCCTTATTTATTTCTTTTTCTTCTTCTTCTTTTTTTTCTTCTTCATCTTCTTTTTCTTATCCTTATTCTTCTTTTTATTCATCTTCACATCTTCATTTTGGTGACACTTTTTTTTAAGAGTTCGTACATAAAATTCTTCTAAAAAGGAGCTTGTGCATCCATATTGTTTTGTTTTTATATTTATTTATTTATTCGACGAGAGCTGCCCGTATTTCTTATATATATATATCCCGATAATTACCCCGCGCGATAATTAATAATAATAATTAATGATAATAATAAATAATGATAATAATTAATAATAATAATAATAATAATAATAATAAGCTCTCTGCTGGTCTGGGGATAAGAACAAACCAGCAGTAGTCCCTACTTGTCGTAAGAGCCGACTAAGAGGGAAAAATCATTAAAATGGTCAAAACAAAATATTTTCAAACAGCATTGAGTCATTGCATAATAATTATCATAATCATAATTATTATTTTAATTACAATAATAAAAATATAATATATATATATATATATTTTATATAATATATATGTGTGTATATTATATGTATAATAATAATAACAAAAAACAATATTAATTAAGATAATAAGACATAATAATGATAAAAAAAATGATAATAATAATTGTAACTAATAACAAATCAATATTGCGTGCCTAATCTCACGAGATTCGTAATGCTTCTTCTCTTTAATTATTTATCAATCGATCGATTGATCGTTAAATATACCGTACGATCATTTTTTTCGTGGATCTTCTTGATTTTTATTTTAACTCTTTCCTTTCAATCATTCCTTTTTTCTTTCGGAAACACGTTTAGCATTTCGCAAATGTCTTTGTATGTTGTTTACGCGTGATGTTGGTGTTACGTAAATGTGTGTGTCGTTAACATTACATATACGAATTTGTGGTCATCTTACCTGAAGTTAACTAGCAGTCAAAACGCGAATGATCCTATTATTATTATTATTATTATTATTATTATTATTATTATTATTATTTTTATTTTTATTATCATTATTATTATTATTATTATTATTATTATTATTATTANTTATTATTATTATTATTATTATTATTATTATTATTATTATATAAATATTAGCTACGACAAATGTGTTGTTTAGAAAATACCTCGGTCGCATTCGAGGATATTTTTTTTGTCTTCTTCGATTTCTCTTTTACTTCTTTTACTTTTTTTTCGATCATGTGGATCATTTAAAACGTTTATCTGTCTCTCTCTCTTTCTTTCTTTCTTTCTTATCGTCGTCATCGAATATTATATTATTTTATTTTATTGATTGATTTATTTTTCCTTCTTTGTAATCTTCTTTTTTAATCGAGGAAAAAATCTCGTAAGAAGACATTCACGGTTGTTTCGTTTTTTATTCTATTGTTTTTCTTTTTTTCTTTCTTTATTTATTTATTTATTATTTCCGCAATAATCGATTATCGATGATTATTATTTTCGACCTTAATTGATTAATTATTCTGGTTAATCTTGCTTAATGTGATACGATGAATGATATTAGCTCAATTTTGTTTTTTGACGTTCATTTACACGATTAGAACGATGGTTATTGTGTTGTTTTTATTTGTAATCGGTTTTTATTGTAATAATTATATATAGATCATTAAAGTGTCGTACAATTGTCATTTCTCCTTTTTATTCTTTTTTTAGATGTACAATTACAAAGGATTAGGAAAAGAATGTCATCTTTCTTTGTTCAATTAATTTTCTCTTTTTTTTCTTCTTTTTTTACTTTCTCTCTCTCTCTTTCTCTCTATCTCTATCTATCTTTTCCTCTTGTGTTATTTTTTATTGTAATTTCTTTCTTTATTTATTTATTTTGTTTATTTTGTCGGCTTGAAAAAGCGTATACATAAAAGTCCATTATTCAAACATGATCATCGAGAATATTTTTTATTGTTTAAATATTGAAAGTATAAATACGACTCTGATACGAAAAAAGATCGAATTATTTTTTTTTCTTATTTTTCTCCCTCTCTCTACCTTTTCTAGTATTCATTTTATTCTTATTGTTGTTGATTTTGTTTAATTATTTTTTTATATATCCGCGTCACGATATTTCTATCTACCTATCTACCTTATTAATTTTTAATTTATTTTTTTCTTACGGTTTCTTTTATGCTTATTTATTTATTTGTTTATATATATATAATCCACTTACATAATTATTATTTATATAAATTGTTCGTTTATTTATTTTTTAATGACTGTTCCGTCATTCGTCGTTAAAACGCATTGTAAAAGTTTGCGCCGATGACTGAACGTTTGTTTTTAAGCGCAAGATTTTTTTGTTCTTGTTTTATCTGGTATCCAGATAAAGAAATCTAAATATCAAAGTTTTATTATTAGATATTTTCCTTCTTCTTTCTTTCTTATAAATATTTTTTCTTATGTATGTTCTAACGACGTTAGATAAGAGGGTTAGAGTAAAATGTGTTGGGTTGTTTTCTTATTTAAAAAAAAATTTATTTCTTTTTTCTCTCTTTCTTTCTTTCTTTATTTTTATGTGTGTGTCTCTCTTTATTTGATTTGCGTATATTTTTCTTGCAGATTTAGTCCTTTTTTTCGTTCATTTTTGTCATTATTTGGCACGAACGAATCACGACCGAACAAAATTTGATAATAATCGAAACGTGATCGTTTTTAAAAGTGAGAAAGAGAGCGAGAGAGAGAAGGAAAAAGAGAGAGAGAGGGAGAGAGAAGATAATTTCGAGATTCTTCCCATAGACATGTTCCTTGTTTTAGTTTCATTATCATATTTTCGATGACGACGACAAAAACGATGACGTTAACTCGCGAGAAGTATTTCGATTAGGTCTAACGGTTTCGAAGATAAATTTTGTAACCGTCTTTTCGGTCACAGAATGTCCGTTTCGTAAATTTTGCTGGTAGTTGTCGTGGTGGTGTTGGTATTGGTGTTGGTAGAAGAAGCAGCAACAGAAGCAGCAGAAACAGCCGAAGTGGTGGAGGACCCAATAGATGTTGTACTCGTCGTAAGGATGTTGTTATCTATCGCAGTTACCATATTAGTCACGTTCGCGTGATGATCGGAATTCGTATTAGAAACGGCTAAGACAAGACTTGGTTCTAACGAAGACGAAGATGAAGACTCTTCGAATCTCGTACGCGAGTTACATAGATCGGAAGTAATAGCAGCAGCAGCAGCAGCTGCTGCTGCAGCAGCATCTCTTCCAAGGGTCGCAGTTTTAACGCTTAGACTTGTCAACGAACCCGAACTGGCAGCACTCATTCCCAATCCCATCTTTGCTAAAAGATTACTTTCCGATCCAGTTTTCTTTAATAAATCTGGAGGTGCAGGTGGTACGGTTGCCAAACCAGCCGCGTTTCTTTGCAATTGTTGAAGTCTCGCATATTGTTCTTGCAAAGCTTTTTGTTTACGTAATAATTCTTGATGACGTTGTTCCAATTGTTCTTGTCTACCTCTCTTACTTTGCAAACCTTCTTGAGAATTGACGCTTTCGCAAGAGCTCGAGTTACTCGTTGATAGGACAGGGCCCGATATAGGCCCTGAGGGACCATCAACTATTTCAGACGATGGTAATGCCATAGGTGGTTTACCAATAGTTCCTACTCCACCTTCTTTGCCACGAGCTAACGGTCTTCGGAGGGTCGACGTTGAACTTGTCATTATCGGAATGGGAGCGTTACTAATACCGCTAACTAATTGTTGGGCTACGGTACACGAAGAAGACGACGAAGATGAAGACGAAGATTGATGATTTCTCGGTGGTAATTGTGGACTCGTTGGACTTGCCAAAGGTGATCTTGAACTAGTTCGTGGTGGTGGTGGTGGTGGGACTCTCCTTGCGCTAGCCAATTGTAATAATTCAGCGTTACGCTCCGGCACGGGTGGTTTTTGTCCTGGTAATAACGCTTGGGGCATCCCTGGTTGCTCTTGAAGGGATACTTGGAGTCTTGCTATCGGTGGTGAGGTATCCGTGTCCGAACTAGACGGATAAGAATGCAAACGACGCAATGTTCCACTTGGGCCAAGTCCTCCGCTTGAAATGGTCAAACCACCGATCAAATTACTTGCTAAAATTCCACTCGACGAATCGACGCTTCCTTTTCTTCCGATTTCTGATATACAGGGTGCTCTTCCTATTGTTCCTGCTCCTCCTGGTCCTGTTATTGTTGTTGTCGTTGTTGTTACTTGTCCTATTACTGGTTGCTGTTGTTGTTGTTGTATTACAGCTGCCGACACTGGTGCCTGACCCATTTGAGAGCCTGGCCTTGAAAAAGTTTGCAGTTCGTCTAACAAAGCGTCGAGTGCGTTCTCCGGACGCTGCTGATGGGTGGTGGGTGGCTCGTGAGGGTGGCTCCCTCCCCCGAGGACGCTCGTTGACCCCAAGACAGTGCGTTCCGCTGGCACAGGGGCAGCTGCCTGTTTAGCATACGCGCACGCACACGCGACCAATCACGATTTGCCTTTTTCACATATATTTATATATATACATATATATACATATATATATGTATATATCTAGTCTTCTCTCTTTTTTTGTCTTTTTTTTTTTTTAATTCATTGTAGCTTTCGCTTCGGCGCATACTTGAGCGTTTAACACAAAACGTTATACCCAATAGCAATTGCAAGAGTAAATAAATGAAAAAATAATTACAAATATATACACAACAATTAAGTCGCTAGTGGGTATCACGTTTCTACCGTGTCTAAGCCAATGACGTATGACAAAAAAGAAAATCGATCCAATTCAAAATAATACAAATTATTTCGAATATTATATAATACAAATATTTATCGATTTTCTTTTTATATATACGTCAAAGATTTTTCCATTTTCGCACGATACCCAAGGAAACTCTCTAACGACGCTAAACGTAACATGCATAAACGTTGATTGTGCGAATGTGCGTGCACGGACCTGGTGAAAGACTCGTACGTTATATGGTAGTTTGAAAAAAAACAAAATTAGGAATAATTGTGTCATAGTGAGAGAAAGACAGAGAGATAATAAATGGAAAGTGACAGAAAAATAGAAATGAAATAGTTGATCAGCGATAGAAAAATAGACGGACAGATAGACAGACAGACAGACAGATAGATAGATCGATTGAAAAAAGAATGTGGTGAATAAACGTTTAGAGAGATGGACGAGAGGCCAAAAAATAAAACACGAGACTTGTATGTATGTATGTGTGTATGTTTTATATATAATATATGACAAATGTACGATGGACAATTAATTGATTAATTAAAACGTTAGATATAATATATATATAATATATATATATATATATGATGAGTTTGTATATATGAGCGAATTAGACAAACAAACAAACCAACGAAAATCCAATAAAAAGACAGACGAAATACAACAAAATAATTCCAAAAAGAAAACAAGGAAAAAAAAAACGAAGTAAAAATCATAAGTTTAATGTTAATTTGAAAATTCGTAAAAATACATATTAATTCCGTTAGAGATAATTACCTGCGGGTCGGTTATACGTTTTGTGCGTGCGTTGTGCGTGTTACAAGTCAGTACTCGTTTGGGGCTCTTTTACATTTGGCATCGATTGCTGTCCGGTATTAGTCAACTTAAAAAAAAAAACAGAGAAACCAAAAATGAAAAATCCAGAAATTAGATACATCATGGTCCTTTGTGGATAATCCAGTAGTAGTAGTAGTAGTAGTAGTAAGTAGTAGTAGTAGTTGTAAGTTGTAGTAGTAAGTAGTAGTAAATAGTAAGTAGTAAGTAGTAAGTAGTAGTAAATAGTAAATAGTAAATAGTAAGTAGTAAGTAGTAAGTAGTAAGTAGTAAGTAGTAGTGGTAATAGATTTGCTTTACGAACGCGTTCACGATATTATATTCTTTCCACGGTTTTATTTGATCTCGTCGATCTCAATACGACTGATTTATAGATCGGATTTAGGACCAGGATGGTGCTACGCTTTTTCCTTTTTTTTTTGTCTCGATACGAATCGATATTTGATGGAGAAAAGAGATTTTGATTTTGTTTATAATATTACAAATATTGAATTATAAAAAAATTAAAAAAAAAGGTTATTTTTATTTTTATTAAATATGAGATTTTGCTTTTCTTATTTTTTTTTCTTCCCGTTTATTTTTTACGCAAGTATTTGTCGTTGGAAAGATTTTTTTTTAATAATAAATTTTTAACGGTAGAAACTCTTTTTCATTTTTGCTCGTTCAAATGTGAAAAATTTGTTTTTTTTAATGCAAATATTATCGTTTATTGCATAATCGATTCTGATCGAGATCACGTGCTACCAAAAGGAAGAATCATTTGCAAAGGTGCATTCTAAGCTTGCTAATTGTAAGATGCAACGGTGAGAATTTTCCACATATATATATATAATACTAATGTTCATGCCATATGCAATCAAATCAATCCAAAATAATAATCATGCTCTTGTTAATGTATCTTCTAACATGTTATCTAAATATACGAAAAGAAAAAAAAATATATACACATATATATTACATATCTATATTACACATATCCAAAATGCAACCACATACAGGGATGGATTAAAAAGTATTGAAAATTATCTTTTTTTTACAAATAAAATGAGAGTTTAACCGAAAATAAAAATAAAATATTGTTTATATGTCAGGCTTAAAACTTTTTAACCAACCACTGTATATGTATTGAGGTGATTTCAAAATTAGAATTAATTAATGAAAATAATAATATAATAACAATAATAATAATAATAATAATAATAATAATAATAATAATAGTAATAATAATAAATAAGTGAATAATAACAAAAGAAAATTTTGATATAGAGGAAAATAATTACAGAAAGTTAATAAAAAGTAGACACAGCCAGTGACAATCGAAAAATCTTGGAGAAAAAAAAAGAAAAAAAAAAGAAAAAAAAAAGAAAATATGTCCAATCCTTATAGTAAGGTAGTAGTATGGATTCTAACGATATTTTGTGCGTGCGTCTGTGTCTCTAATTCTAATTAGATTTCTATAGTGAAAGATAGAATTCTGTAATTGTGATTAATTGTGAAATATTTTTTTTTCTTCTTTTTTTATGGGGTTTCCTTTTTTTTTTTTTTAAAAGAAATATTATATGCGTGTATTATGCATCTCGATGATATTGATTTCAAATTGTATCGGTAATTATGATAATAAGCCTAACTTCAAAAATTATATAAATTTATTTTATTATAAAATAAATCATGAATTTAGTCCATTATTATAATTATCGATACAAATATAAATTTTTATTATCGTTATGCCTTATCACACAATTGTTCTTTCATTATTATTATTATTATTATTATTATTATTATTATTATTATTATTATGATTATTATCATTTATTACTATATATTATATGTTATTTATACTATTCTTATTTAGAGATATATTTTTTTTTATTTTTTATTTTTATTTTAAGGACACGCTCGAGCATACACACGACGCACTCGCACAGAATGAAAGGAAAATGTTTTAAAAGATTTAGGATCGTGGAAACTGAGATAGGAATTTATTTCATTTAATTAAGGACTAGCATGAAATTAATTTCTATTGATGAACAGAGAGAAAGAGAGAGAGGGAGAGAAAGTGAGAGATAGATATAATAGATAATCAGATAAATAGAAGAAAGATGATGGTGAGAAAAAATAATTATAATAATTATAATAAAAAAGTAATAAAAATAAATATAGAAGAGAGAACTCTTCATAAACGTGAAGATTCACAATTATAGGGATGTTCTAAATTAATTTACTTTTTTTTATATCAACGGTAATATTTTTCCATATTTAAAAAAAAAAAAAAATAATTGAATAACTTCGATAAAAAATTTGTTTATGTAGGTTATTATTTATACAAACGGGTAACGACACATAGGGGGAAAACTAAAATAATACTTTTCAATAATAAAATTGATAATAATAATAATAAAATACATACAAAAATAAATGTATATTATTATATATGAATAGTATATGCGTATATATTTATATATATATAT